ATGGTCGACAAAACGAGTTTCTTGCTTACTATTTAATACATTATACATACGATATGAAAATTCAATGTTAAAAGCCTAGTTAGAATACACAATTTTCTAATAGCATCACCGACCGATGGAGGTGTTTTATTTGCCAGACGGGCCAGCTGTGCTTTTCACAGCCAATTTTGTCAGTAACGCTATTAGAGCCTTAAGCTAATAAGAAGAGTGTTAGTAGAGAAAAAAATGCTCTTAAGTAAAGTTAAAAATAATCTTAATTTACTATGTTATTTAAGAAAATACAATAGATCGAAAAAAGAAAGAAAGTAGTAGTTCAAGTAAAGTAAAGAGATAGTAACGGGAAATCACCGACCCACCCGGTGGGGGAAAATTTATAGCCTGTCTGGCAAACTATGTATCGGCAAACCAAAGGTATCCTGAAAGCAATGATTTTATTACGGGTAGAGAAAATTCGGTAGAGAAAACGTGATGCAAACTATTGTAATTTTTACATAACACGCGAAAAGGATTGGGCATAGCGTCGTCTGTTGTGCACGTAGATAAGAATAAGGTGCTTCAATTCCCGTTCCTTCTAGACCAACCAGGAATTATCGCCCCTTATTCTTATCTACGTGCACAACAGACGACGCTATGCCCAATCCTTTTCGCGTGTTATGTAAAAATTACAATAGTTTGCATCACGTTTTCTCTACCGAATTTTCTCTACCCGTAATAAAATCATTGCTTTCAGGATACCTTTGGTTTGCCGATACATAGTTTGCCAGACAGGCTATAAATTTTCCCCCACCGGGTGGGTCGGTGATTTCCCGTTACTATCTCTTTACTTTACTTGAACTACTACTTTCTTTCTTTTTTCGATCTATTGTATTTTCTTAAATAACATAGTAAATTAAGATTATTTTTAACTTTACTTAAGAGCATTTTTTTCTCTACTAACACTCTTCTTATTAGCTTAAGGCTCTAATAGCGTTACTGACAAAATTGGCTGTGAAAAGCACAGCTGGCCCGTCTGGCAAATAAAACACCTCCATCGGTCGGTGATGCTATTAGAAAATTGTGTATTCTAACTAGGCTTTTAACATTGAATTTTCATATCGTATGTATAATGTATTAAATAGTAAGCAAGAAACTCGTTTTGTCGACCATTGATAAAATAAAATAGAAAATAAAATTCCTGGCCAATAGTACCTCCGCGCAAGGCGAGATATCGTCGTCCTCACCCTTTGATGGCCCGCCGTCGGGGCATTGTGACACTCCCGCAGGACTCTTTGCCTTCGATTGCCGGCGACGCACAATTTCCACGGTACGTAGTCCTCGTCCTCGGCTCTGTGCCCCAAGTGGCGGTAGATTTGGCCGTTCTCGACAGCGTAGTCCGGGTACTTCTCTGGCTCCTTAGTGAGTTTTTCCAGCATGCATGCGGTCCATGAGGTCGGCTATGACGTCGAACATATAACCCTCCAAATAGCACCTCAACTTACGGATTGACCAAACTAAAGCTAGACGTTCCTTCTCCGTGGCTGAATAATTGATCTCCGACTTCGTGAGGTTCCTACTGACGTACCAATGACTCGCTCCTCCTCGTCGATTTTTTGTGTAAGAACGGCACCGAGGCCATGATCGCTAGCGTCCGTTTGCAGCACGAATTACTTGCTGAAATCCGGGCATGCGAAGATCGGCGCTGTCGTGAGTCGCTCCTTGAGCTGTTCCAACGCATCCTGCTGCTCTACGCCCCACGACCATGCCTTCTCCTTTTTCAGGAAAGCGGTCATCGGCTGCACCACCGACCCAAAATTGGTCACGAAGCGTCGATACCACGAGGCCATCCCCAGGCATTGCCGCAGCTCCTTTCAACTCGATGGGGCCGTCAGCCTTTGATTCGCGAGCACCTTTGAGAGGTTTGTGCGGATTCCTTCGCCACTTACCACATGCCCCAAATACCCCAGCTCTTTCCGGAAGAACCCGCATTTCTCCCTGATTAGCCTCAAGTTCGCTTCCCCCTGCCGTCGTAACACTTCTTTCATATTGGCCACATGCTGCTCCTTGGTCGCGCCTTTGACGATGATGTCATCCAGATAGGCGAAAGCGTGGGGCTCCATTTGCGGCCCTATCACCGAATCCAATGCCCTCTGGAATGTGGCGCACGCCGAGTGCAGACCGATGGGCATCACCTTCCACTGCTTTAGTTTCCGTCCTGGAAACGTAAACGTGGTATACTGCCTGCTCCATTCTTCCATGGGTATCTGCCAATATCCTTGCTTCAGATCCAGCGTCGATTTGTAGCGCAGCACTCGCGCGTAGGTGCTCTAAAATATGATTTATCCGGGGTACTGGGTATGTGTCCGGTCTTCGCCATTCTCCACTATACGGGTTTCGGGACGGCTCGATGGCTCCCGTAGGGAGCCATTCCTCCACCTGCTCGCCGATGACGCGCTGCATCACCGGGTTCCTCGGGTAGTACCTCTGCTTGATGGGCTCGTTGTCCTTCATCACAATACGATGGCTGGCTATGTGGGACTCGCCCTTCAGCCCTCGAATCGCGCCAACTCCGCCTCCAGAAGCACCTGCAGGCTTGGCTTCATATCTGCTGTGCTCGCTGTTGGGTCCCTCCTCCCCACACCCTTCACCGCTACTAACCTCGTGACTAATTCCCGACTCCTTCTGAGGTGCGTGGTTGATCCTCCTGCCCGCTGGATCCATCCACCCTTCCCAGCATCGCGCTTTTAGGTGCTGATCCACGCGTAGGCCCCGAATCCCTCCACTGCTGACCTCTGTCAACGCCTGCCCTTTTACCCTAACCCCTGGCCCTTTAGGCACACCCGTGTTGTCTGACCGCGCCACTAACGGCATTTTGGACACATTGCTGTGCAACCGCGGCTCCACTGGCACCCTAGACATACCATTATCGTATGTCTGGCATCTCCGGGACCCTCTCCACGGGACGGACTGCCGCCCCTGCCTAATGCCTAACCTCGCCTCCGGGATCGCCTCCGCAGGGCAACCAGTCGCCCCTTCCCTAATTCCCAGTCTCTCTGGCGTTCTCAGCGTCATCTCGCTGTCTCCACATCGTATCCTGGTGCCTATCGCGTGGAGAAAGTCCATGCCTTGAATCACCTGGTCTACCATTGACGCCATTATTAGTAGAGGCACGCCGATCGTGCGACCCGCTAAGCTGATTTCCGCGTGCATCATCCGCGCGACATCTAGCCCAGAGCCGTCCGCTGGCCGTATCCTAGTTTGCGCCTCCCTAATCTCCACGTTCTTCGCCACCTTTGCCTCGCAGGCACCACTGATGAAAGATCGGGTAGCACCGGTGTCGAGTGTCGCCGCGTACTCCTCCTCGCCGATTTTGATCGTCGCGACGACACGACCCCCTCGAGTCGCAAAATATCTACTGATTCCGGGATCCGCTGACATCGCTGCCCATCAGCTCCCGGTCCGGATGGCGCCGCTACCCGTTTCCCTGAGCCGGTCGTCTACAGCATTACTGGCTGCTCACCCCTCTAGTACCGCGTTGCGTAAAAAGACTACCTGAGGGTTGGGACCTTCCCTCCTAAAAAGCCCCTCTTGCCCGCACCGAAAGCATATCGGGCGTCACCTAGCCGTTCGTCCAGATTCTTGACCAATCGTATCGGTGGTATCGGTAGTTCACCTGGGACTGCCCACTGAGAGCCACCCCGCCGATGAAGCTACCCTGAACGGGTTGTTTATGCCGGTTGTTGTCTGCGCTTGCCTGTCGCCTAAAGAAATCTAAGAATCCCTCCTTGAACTCATTCCATGACACTTCTCTTAGCCCAGTTGTTATGAACCAACGAGCAGCTTCGCCGATCATGACCTCGTTCATCGGCCTAGGTAGCCTATCTGTGTTGATGTCATAGGATAGGGCCCGATCCTCGATGGCTTAAACGAAGGACAGTGGATCAGTCTGTCCATCGAATCGTATACCCCACTTCCTGACTTGTTCAGGATTGATGCAGTGTCCCCTCAACTCTATTGGTAGGCGCGCTGGTGTTAATGGGACGCCCTCAGCAACTCGAGACGTTCCCGATTCCTTTATCCTATCGCACGCATCACGGGCCTTATAGCTCGGGATCACCGGAACTTCGACCAGATCGGGAGTGCTCAGACTCGGATTCGGATTTCGACCGCCTATCCCATTCAACGGGGTCGGGTTCGGGCTGGACTTTCTGCTCTGGGGTTCGGGTGTATTTGGCCTCTAGCTAGCCCACACTTTGGCCGAGTGCGAACCCCCAGAAACGAAGCTTGCTAACCGACGACGCAAATCTTCGACCCGCCCTAGGTCGCCCGAACTCGCGAGTGATCGCCCCCAGCTCCTCCTATCGTCGCAAGTGGATCCACCGTACGCCCCCCCCTGGATTCTGACACTCACCCGTATCCATCCTTTCGTACGTAACCTCTTATCTTTGTTTATCGGTCCTCCTCTTAGATCTCCGAGTTTCGTTTCCTTCTTTTTGGGTTGCTCTTTTATCTCCGTAAGCTAGTCTGTCCTTCTTGCTCGTCTTGTTTTGATTACTTTATATTGATTTTAATTGTAATTATTTTATTTTGATTTTAATTATTTTACTTATAAATTTTTTATTTTTGCATTATTTTATTGATTTCGTTTTTAACTATTTAATTTTTATTTATTTCGTTTTTAATTATCTTATTATTTATCTCGCTTTATTATTTTTAATCATTTGATTTTAATTAATTAAATTTATTTTTTTTAAATTATTTTATTTTAATTATTTTTATTTAATTATTTTATTTTATTTATTTTTATTTATTTTGTTTTTAAATTACTTTTTTAATTATTTTTATTTAATTATTTTATTTTAATTATTTATATTTAATTATTTTATTTTATTTATTTTTATTTAGTACATTGTTTTTCAACCGAGCCATAAAACAAAAAAAAATCATGTCGCACTTTAGTTGGCCATCCTAAAAAGTGACGCTGCGTACTGGCCTCACACTACAGTCACTTCCTTTTCGCTGCACTCGTCCACTCTTTTCCCGTGGAACTATGTTCTCGCTTAGTAGCTCTCTCGTCATGTGTTTTTTTTGTTTCTTTGCAGGCCGAGTCTTTCTGCTCCATGCTGCACTTCACTCAAGCGTCTAGGTCGTTTTATTTTTTTTTTTTTTCGAACACCAAAAAAAAATCAAAAAAAAAAACTTCAACGCCCTGGCCTCGTCCCCGTCCACTTGCGTTTTAATTGTTCACTTTTGTTATTTTGTTGGTGTATATAAATAGATATCTTCACCACCAGAAAGCAACGTTCAATTTATGCCAAAGCCGTTTAGCACTTCGCACTTTTCACACTATTCCCCGTCGAGCTCGCTTACCGTTCAATTTCAAAGCGTCCCGAGCGATTTGCTCCACGGTGGGCTTTGATAGCTGTGCCGTTTGCACTCGTTTTGCCGATTCTCAGCCGCGAACAGATGCCTGTATGTATGGGCATGTGTTTGTGTGTGAGCGTTAACGCTCTGCTCAAACTCGCGCGCGCCGCTCACTCTACGAGAAGTTTTACGAACGTCCGTTAGTTTTCGAGTCTCTTCTTTATATTTTTTTTCTGTCACTACTTGTCTGGCTGCACGTGTGCGCTTGCTGTTGACACCGCAGTGGGACTTTGCTGTTCCCTTTTCCTATGCCGCGGGCAGCTAACTTTTCAGTTGACGCTACCTTTTGGCCCTAAATGCACTCTGACGCCACAGAATGGTTAGTTTTAGAAAAGGGAACCGCTGTGATCTCTCCGCCGCGGCTAGGAATGCATCAAAAGAGAACAGAAAGCACTTCGATTGTAGGAACTCTCGATAATTTAATCTAGAACATTAGCCCTACTGCACCGTCAATTCTTGACTATCTATCCCTAACATCGCGGTCACTTCGCGATTTCTTTTTTTTTGTATGTCTTTTTCGTTACGTCCACACGTCTAATACTCACGCTCGAAAAAATCAAAAGTGAAGCTGCTGATCAGCCTCTCCGTCTTACGACCCTCTTCGCCTTACGGAGAAAACTATCTTCTTAAGCCTATTCGCTATTATATTTATTTCGAAATCGGTCTCTCTTAACTTAAATCCTCTTCGCTTATTATCTTAAATGATTGGTTTTAATATATTTTAGACTCCACTATGTTCGTATGTTAGGCGGTATGACTACTGCCCTTGTAATTGTGACCCTGCGTTACAAGTTTAGGTTGCGGCAACAAAATTTAGATTTCGCAATGCCTATGGTATGGTTCGCGTTCTTTAGACACTCGGTCACCAATTTCAGGTATTTCAGATGCATTTGAATATCTGCCGATTTTATAAGTAAGTCGTCCAGGCATACAAACACGTTTGTGGTGAGGGCTAGCTTAAAGCTTTCTTCGTCGCTTAACGCAAATTTACCCGTTCTTATCTTTAAGGCTTCAGTCAACGGTTTTGAGATCTCGGCGAAGTTCTTTATGAAGCGGCGATAGCACCCCGCCGTACCTAGGAAGCTTCGCAGATGGGTCTGAAAATCTCCCGATATTATAAGTAAGTTTAGCATTTTATCCACCTGGGCCAACACGATCTCCTGTTTGGCCGGTGACAACGGATAATACCTATCCTTCACGGGCTTAGCTCCCTCGATCAGCTGTATTCGATGCTGCAACAGGTGAGTTTTCCCAAGGCCATCCTTTTCAAATTGAAGAAATCTGCAATTCACGCCTTCCAACTGACTCTTCTGGTCGTTGTCCAAGTCCCACATTTCCGGATCCGTCACGCCGTAGTCGTCGTCTGGGTAATAAGCCACCTCTGGGTTCGTTTCCGGGGAGTTGTAAAATGCGATCACTTTTTTATTACTCCCGTATTTCACAGGCAGAACAACGCGGCCTAAGATTGGGCGATTGGCACCCGCCGCTGTCCTTACCATCGACGCGTATGGCTGCGCTTCCCATTCCAATTCCTCCACTAACTCCCGGCATCCTCGTCCGAGCAGACTGACTGAGGCGTGCATCACAGCGACCTACACATCGGAGATTACCCGTGGGTCTATGCCATCCTCTCGTGTCACAGCGTAATCCTGCGTCTGCGGAAGCGCATACGAGCCTTCACCACTCTTCGGGTGGCCAGCGTCATCCCATCCAGCTGTCGCTCACCAAAAATTCTATTTCGGGCCGACATGCATGCACGAAGTCCTCGACAGAATTCATTGCATCCTCGCCATCGAACTTGACGTTCCAGCGCTCGAGCTTCAGGTACGCTGTTTCTCGTGCGTTGGCACATGCTTCCTCCGGCTGAAAGACATCCGCTCTCTGGTCCTCTTCTCGGAAGTGGTGATTATTCGAATTACGCCAGTTCCTCGCCTGAGCATCTGCAACGTATACTGGGCTGCTGCATGAGTACGCCGCTCCTCGCGCGCCTTGTCTGTGTGGCTTCGGTACCACCGGTGGTGGAAATGCCTCGTGCTGGATCCCTTCTCGCTCTTTCGGGATTGCGCCTGTTCGCTTTTCCGGCACAACGTGTCTCGGTGGCATCGGCGCAGTGTTAGACTATCCGGCGTGGCTCCCTGGCGGCTTAAGCACATCAATGATGCCCTTTATCATCTCCATGAAGCCTGTTCGCATCTCCTAACGGATGGACTCGCTGATTCCAAATGGCAGAGCATGCAGATATAGCTGGTGGGCTTGAGCTATCGCCGCGTTCGCTGCCGATGTGAGTACTGAGTCCTTCGTCGCTTTAGCGAACTCCAGTTTCCGTGCCTGGATCTGTCTGTCAGGAAATCCCCGGAAGCTCACTGGCGTTGGCACCAGAACTCCTGCCGGACGCGGCGGTGGCAGTGCCGACGTTCCGTCAGCGTCACAGGCCCAGTCCGGCACCTGTTCCTCAGCCATGCTAATCTTTTCAGAAAACTGTACCTCTCTCTTCTATAAGGCTTACTAGCTCCAATATAAAAAAAAAACTTCACAAGTAATTCCTATTAAATAAATAAATAAATAAACATCCACCAGCAAATCTTACTAATATTGAATAATTAATAAATAAACATCGACCATAAAATAACTCACAAAAAAAATTGTATGTTTTTATTAATTCAATTTCACTTGTCTACGCATAATCTGGACAGTGGACCACATTTAAGCATTCGTCAAATGCTCAGTCAGTTTGACTGACGAACGGAATTCAAGGAACGCTACCTTGAAGTCTATTTGGCATCTGTCACACTTCTGGGCACCCTTGAGGCATGCTGTGTCACAGGTGCGGCGCAGGATCAAATCTATATCGTCCTGGGTCACGTGTCTCCGAAGCTCATATAACTACGGCCTGCACACACCAAACGTAAATATAGAGTGAGACAAAACAAATAGTAAACAATAAAAAAAACTCTAACCAAAACCTACCCTATTATCACATTCTATCACAAGATGCCTTTGTTATTGCTACCACCAGGCTACGATGAACGATCGCGAACGTTTCGCCAATATGCGAACGTGACTTACTGCCATCGACCACGACAAGAAAAACTTCTCATGCTCATGCAATATTCTGATAATATCTGCCTTCGTCGTGCTTCTCGGATTCCATAACACGATGCGCGATTATGGGCCGCCTACTCGTGCCACATAAGGCATCAGCGGTGTGGATTCTAAAGCCAAGGGAAACTTTTCTTTGTACCTGCAATAATATTTTTAATTATATTTTTTATTTCCGCCCCGACCTAAAAGAAACCGGGTGCTTCTTCGAATTGGGCGTCATACTGTTACGGAATTGCTTGTTTCTCTGTGGGCCACCCCGGCTGGCTCATTGGTTCTCTGGGTGTAGTCCCATCCCTGGCCCGCAGTCCGCATAATCGATATCAACAAAGCTACAACGTCTGCAGCAAAACAGACCTACACAACACTATTAAAAAGGAACCACATAACCGATAACATCAAACAGCCGGAACTATTAACAAATGAACAACACTAACAGCTGTAACAACAAGAACTGGGAACAACAAAGGTGAGACGCTCAATATAAGTTAACAAAAATAAACATTACTAATCAACTTTACTTCCCCAGATCGGGTCCCGGTTCCGGACCCAGCGTTCCTACCTGAGACGATCTCCTGATCTCTCCCCATCAATGGATTTTTAGCCTGACATTGTTTTTCTTCAATATAATATAGTATAATTGGTTGCATTTCTTTAAAATTAATAATAATTAATATTAATTCTTATCGCATTTATCTATGCAGCCATTTACAACCTCATGCAAGCGGACATTTTTCTCAACTTCACCAGGTGCGTATAATTATTTGCATATTTTTATAATTATTGACAAGTAATATTACTTCTTATTGCATGTATCTCTGCAGGTTATCTCCACATAGCTACTTACGTTCTCCTGCAATTGAACATTTATTTTCGACTTCACCAAGCTCATATAATTGTTGCGTTCTCTTATTGTAATTGACCCTTGACCTTAATTTCTAAAATTTCATTTTTCTTACAGAATATGTTTTATTTATCAATATTAAAGTGAGCAGGCGACGAAAACACTGCCAAAGGTTATTGCCAGTCGCCGCGAAAAAAAGGGAAGGGAGACAATTGTAATGTGATCGTTGCACCAATGGAAACAAGATACCCACATAAATGAACCTAGAACCGGGTATGCCAAAAAATCAGTCGCGCAGCAGGTATGTGAGGTATTAAATCGCTTGAATCTACCTTACCCTACCTAAAGAGCTCTCTAGGGGCGGTAAGGGGCGATAGAAAGGGTATTTGAAGGTATGTGTTGTTCGTGCAAATGCAAAATTTTAAACTTTTATATTTACTAGGTGCAAGAACATTTGGGTCGGTCACTCGCTGTTCGCCCTTTAGAAAGTTTTCTTGAATGAAACTAGGCGTAAGTACACATATATATTTATCCAAAAGAACTAAATCTAATAATGGCAAAAAATCTTTCCTTAGCCAGGGGTCTCGAACATGAGTCTACGTCTGAATCTGCCTGCTACTCGAGGCGAGGGTGGACGACATGGAACTGACTCACTCGGATTATGTGGGCGTGGTACGGGACTGACAGCCAAAAAGAAAAAAATTTAACCTGGCTTCGAGCACGGCACGCCCGGCGTTGACCGCTGACTAAATTGAACTCCCTGCTGTATATTTGGGCAGCAACATCATCGGAATTTCGGCACACACATACATGTACGAGGCGCGCACCGTTGCTGCCCATCTGCACAGCAGCACTCTAGGGTCATCGACCCAGTTGTAGGCCAAGGGCATTAGCAAGGGCATCCGATCCGCTCTCTTCCTAATCTCTCTATGAGCGAATCGGTTGCCTAATCATGATCGCTCAATGGCGTTACCCCTGTTAGCTGTTAGTTTGTTACTCCTTACATATACATCCACAAATGCATAATCACTTAATTGCAGTAAACGACCTAGTAATGGTGGGGAAAGTGTTGTTCTTTAGTTGTGGGCTTGTCTAGGAGTTTTTTTTTTATTTTTTCTTTCTTTTAAATCACTTGAGGACTGAAAGTTTGTTGATATTTATTTTAAGGTTTTTATTTTGTTGATGCACTTATGATTTGCTTTCTCGTGTAGTGACCAATGGCCAAGTTGGTTATTGTTCGGAAAAACCTCTGCATTCCCTTTCTTGTTAAGCGACTAATAATCATTCGTTCACCTTCGCGGCGAATTCTATAAGCTAGTTTGTTCACGCGCTCCCATTCTCTTTTTTACTCTCCCACATACCCACACCTGCAAGCTGCGCAATACAGACAACAACGTTCCGTGTGTCTGCTATATACTTCTAGAACATTCGACTATGCTGCCCAAAAATTTAGCTTCGCCAAATTGACTTTCAATCGCCTCGTCAATTAAGTTAGAAGCGCCGATCAGAAACTGCACAATTTAAAAAGTTGAAACAGTGTTTTAAACTCGTGTCCGTTATATAAGACCCCGTTGCTTCTCTTGTAAAATCCAAAACTCAAGTTCTCGAATCGCGAGACAGCCACAAAGGCGATCGCATCCGAATTGCAGAAGCATTGAGTGGTGTGCCGGATAAAATGTGAAAGGTGATATCGTGTCATATTGGTGTGAATATAAGTGATGTTAACCAAAATTTATGTTACAGCGGTTAATATTAGATAACGCGAGTAGCCAGCTTCTGCCAGCGGTTTCGCGTTGTTCCCTTCCGTGTGCTTGCACATTCCGGATTTTTTTTATGTTAATACATTATTTTAAATGAATTGTTTATAATATTAAAACTTTTTTGCTGATACTTGGCAGTTTCTTGGCATGCGCGCATATTAATGGCTAGGTTGGGATTTTAAGTGGATTTTATCGACTGAAAAACATTGCACAGAGGCAAGCGCAACCTTCTCGGCTCTCGCACAAAAGCTGTCTCTCGCCTAGATTGTGAGATGGACTGGCCAATAGTTTAGTTAACTCCTGCACGCTTAGCCGGTGTCTCAATAAATTGATAGGCGCCTGTGACGGGATTGAACAAATATTTTTGTTACCAGTCAATAAATATTAAATCGGGCAGCAGTTTGCAGGTGAAGGCTATTGGAATTACCTTCTCCGAGCTATATCCTTAGATGGCCTTGTATTCTGCAGATGAGTTTTCTCTACCTTTTAGTGTTTCTGTTAATTAATTAACAGCACCGATAATCAGGCCTAAGGTCCTCGAAACTAGGTTGGTGTCTCGGCGAACCGGCCAAACTTTAATTCAAATCCCTATTAATTCTCCTTAATTAATATAACTAAACGACTCTATCAAATTACTAAATTAAATGGAAATGAAAGGAATCTAAAAATTCAATGTCAATAAGAAAGGCTGAACAACCAATTTATAGCGAAATATGTAACACAAAATAGGGGTAGAAGTTCTTGCGACGATTAGTATGCGATAAGAGCTGTAGTAGAAAATTATTATTAAATGGAATATACAACAAATTAAAAATAGTTGCATTAAGCGTATTGAGCATTATGCGTACTGAGCAGAATTGATGACACCACCGCACCAATTACAGACTCTTTCAAAGCGAACACGAAGCTAATTCTGACCGGAGAACCCACAAAGGGTTTCCAGGAGCTTAAGAAGGCGCTCTTATGTGCACCCGTATTGGCGCATCCTGATTTCCGCAAGCACTTTTATATACAATGCGATGCAAGCCAACTTGAAATAGGAGGGGTGTGTAGAAATGCCGTGTACAACTGGTTCGCTTAACGTCAGTTTTATCATTGATTTTTATTAAAATGAAATGAACTAATAGTAGCTAACAAATTCGACTTAGCATAATTATGTTAAAGATAACATAGTCTCAGAGGGAGAGCGCACTCATGCATATATGGTTGCATTAAAGTATTAGTGCGCGTACAGCCATGTACTTCTCGTACATAGCGCCCAGGCATTGCCCGTAGGATGCATGGTCAGTGCTTATGCCGTAAGTAGGCTTAAGACGGTGGCCGTCAAGTGGCTTATTCGAATTACGCCAGTTCCTAGCCTGAGCATCTGCAACGTATACTGGGCTGCTGAATGAGTACAGGATCAAATCTATATCGTCCTGGGTCACTTGTCTCCGAAGCTCATATAACTACGGCCAGCACACACCAAACGTAAATATAGAGTGAGACAAAACAAATAGTAAACAATAAAAAAACTCTAACCAAAACCTACCCTATTATCACATTCTATCACAAGATGCCTTTGTTATTGCGGCTACCACCAGGCTACGATGAACGATCGCGAACGTTTCGCCACTATGCGAACGTGACTTACTGCCATCGACCACGACAAGAAAAACTTCTCATGCTCATGCAATATTCTGATAATATCTGCCTTCGTCGTGCTTCTCGGATTCCATAACACGATGCGCGATTATGGGCCGCCTACTCGTGCCACATAAGGCATCAGCGGTGTGGATTCTAAAGCCAAGGGAAACTTTTCTTTGTACCTGCAATAATATTTTTAATTATATTTTTTATTTCCGCCCCGACCTAAAAGAAACCGGGTGCTTCTTCGAATTGGGCGTCATACTGTTACGGAATTGCTTGTTTCTCTGTGGGCCACCCCGGCTGGCTCATTGGTTCTCTGGGTGTAGTCCCATCCCTGGCCCGCAGTCCGCATAATCGATATCAACAAAGCTACAACGTCTGCAGCAAAACAGACCTACACAACACTATTAAAAAGGAACCACATAACCGATAACATCAAACAGCCGGAACTATTAACAAATGAACAACACTAACAGCTGTAACAACAAGAACTGGGAACAACAAAGGTGAGACGCTCAATATAAGTTAACAAAAATAAACATTACTAATCAACTTTACTTCTCCAGATCGGGTCCCGGTTCCGGAACCAGCGTTCCTACCTGAGACGATCTCCTCTCCCTCATTTTGGCCACTAGATGGCCTTCATTAGCCCGTGTCGGCTGTCAAGGCCCCTCTCCCCATCAATGGATTTTTAGCCTGACATTGTTTTTCTTCAATATAATATAGTATAATTGGTTTGCATTTCTTTAAAATTAATAATAACTAATATTAATTCTTATCGCATTTATCTATGCAGCCATTTACAACCTCATGCAAGCGGACATTTTTCTCAACTTCACCAGGTGCGTATAATTATTTGCATATTTTTATAATTATTGACAAGTAATATTACTTCTTATTGCATGTATCTCTGCAGGTTATCTCCACATAGCTATTTACGTTCTCCTGCAAGTGAACATTTATTTTCGACTTCAACAAGCTCATATAATTGTTGCGTTCTCTTATTGTTATTGACCTTTGACCTTAATTTCTAAAATTTCATTTTTCTTACAGAATATGTTTTATTTATCAATATTAAAGTGAGCAGGCGACGAAAACACTGCCAAAGGTTATTGCCAGTCGCCGCGAAAAAAAGGGAAGGGAGACAATTGTAATGTGATCGTTGCACCAATGGAAACAAGATACCCACATAAATGAACCTAGAACCGGGTATGCCAAAAAATCAGTCGCGCAGCAGGTATGTGAGGTATTAAATCGCTTGAATCTACCTTACCCTACCTAAAGAGCTCTCTAGGGGCGGTAAGGGGCGATAGAAAGGGTATTTGAAGGTATGTGTTGTTCGTGCAAATGCAAAATTTTAAACTTTTATATTTACTAGGTGCAAGAACATTTGGGTCGGTCACTCGCTGTTCGCCCTTTAGAAAGTTTTCTTGAATGAAACTAGGCGTAAGTACACATATATATTTATCCAAAAGAACTAAATCTAATAATGGCAAAAAATCTTTCCTTAGCCAGGGGTCTCGAACATGAGTCTACGTCTGAATCTGCCTGCTACTCGAGGCGAGGGTGGACGACATGGAACTGACTCACTCGGATTATGTGGGCGTGGTACGGGACTGACAGCCAAAAAGAAAAAAATTTAACCTGGCTTCGAGCACGGCACGCCCGGCGTTGACCGCTGACTAAATTGAACTCCCTGCTGTATATTTGGGCAGCAACATCATCGGAATTTCGGCACACACATACATGTACGAGGCGCGCACCGTTGCTGCCCATCTGCACAGCAGCACTCTAGGGTCATCGACCCAGTTGTAGGCCAAGGGCATTAGCAAGGGCATCCGATCCGCTCTCTTCCTAATCTCTCTATGAGCGAATCGGTTGCCTAATCATGATCGCTCAATGGCGTTACCCCTGTTAGCTGTTAGTTTGATACTCCTTACATATATATCCACAAATGCATAATCACTTAATTGCAGTAAACGACCTAGTAATGGTGGGGAAAGTGTTGTTCTTTAGTTGTGGGCTTGTCTAGGAGTTTTTTTTTTATTTTTTCTTTCTTTTAAATCACTTGAGGACTGAAAGTTTGTTGATATTTATTTTTAGGTTTTTATTTTGTTGATGCACTTATGATTTGCTTTCTCGTGTAGTGACCAATGGCCAAGTTGGTTATTGTTCGGAAAAACCTCTCCATTCCCTTTCTTGTTAAGCGACTAATAATCATTCGTTCACCTTCGCGGCGAATTCTATAAGCTAGTTTGTTCACGCGCTCCCATTCTCTTTTTTACTCTCCCACATACCCACACCTGCAAGCTGCGCAATACAGACAACAACGTTCCGTGTGTCTGCTATATACTTCTAGAACATTCGACTATGCTGCCCAAAAATTTAGCTTCGCCAAATTGACTTTCAATCGCCTCGTCAATTAAGTTAGAAGCGCCGATCAGAAACTGCACAATTTAAAAAGTTGAAACAGTGTTTTAAACTCGTGTCCGTTATATAAGACCCCGTTGCTTCTCTTGTAAAATCCAAAACTCAAGTTCTCGAATCGCGAGACAGCCACAAAGGCGATCGCATCCGAATTGCAGAAGCATTGAGTGGTGTGCCGGATAAAATGTGAAAGGTGATATCGTGTCATATTGGTGTGAATATAAGTGATGTTAACCAAAATTTATGTTACAGCGGTTAATATTAGATAACGCGAGTAGCCAGCTTCTGCCAGCGGTTTCGCGTTGTTCCCTTCCGCGTGCTTGCACATACCGGACGAGTCTGGCTGGCCATTCTGGCCGCCTAATCCCACGATAGTCTCTAATATGTAAGAGCAAGAAATTCAGTGAACCGCTCATGCACACGGAACAGAAAACGTGTGACCTATGAGCGCTAACTTGGTGCCATTGGCAGGAACACCTGAACCGTCGTCACCAGCTTAACGCAGTGAGCGCTGCTCCAAATGGACTCAGCGCACATGAAACCTTTCATTGTTTATTAAACATTTAAATTTTCCGTCCATATTAATTACAGTCAAGTTTTTAATTTTTTTTTATGTTAATACATTATTTTAAATGAATTGTTTATAATATTAAAACTTTTTTGCTGATACTTGGCAGTTTCTTGGCATGCGCGCATATTAATGGCTAGGTTGGGATTTTAAGTGGATTTTATCGACTGAAAAACATTGCACAGAGGCAAGCGCAACCTTCTCGGCTCTCGCACAAAAGCTGTCTCTCGCCTAGATTGTGAGATGGACTGGCCAATAGTTTAGTTAACTCCTGCTCGCTTAGCCGGTGTCTCAATAAATTGATAGGCGCCTGTGACGGGATTGAACAAATATTTTTGTTACCAGTCAATAAATATTAAATCGGGCAGCAGTTTGCAGGTGAAGGCTATTGGAATTACCTTCTCCGAGCTATATCCTTAGATGGCCTTGTATTCTCCAGATGAGTTTTCTCTACCTTTTAGTGTTTCTGTTAATTAATTAACAGCACCGATAATCAGGCCTAAGGTCCTCGAAACTAGGTTGGTGTCTCGGCGAACCGGCCAAACTTTAATTCAAATCCCTATTAATTCTCCTTAATCACTATAACTAAACTAATCTATCAAATTACTAAATTAAATGGAAATGAAAGGAATCTAAAAATTCAATATCAATAAGAAAGGCTGAACAACCAATTTTAAAGCGAAATATGTGACACAAAATAGGGGTAGAAGTTCTTGCGACGATTAGTATGCGATAAGAGCTGTAGTAGAAAATTATTATTAAATGGAATATACAACAAATTAAAAATAGTTGCATTAAGCGTATTGAGCATTATGCGTACTGAGCAGAATTGATGACACCACCGCACCAATTACAGACTCTTTCAAAGCGAACACGAAGCTAATTCTGACCGGAGAACCCACAAAGGGTTTCCAGGAGCTTAAGAAGGCGCTCTTATGTGCACCCGTATTGGCGCATCCTGATTTCCGCAAGCACTTTTATATACAATGCGATGCAAGCCAACTTGAAATAGGAGGGGTGTGTAGAAATGCCGTGTACAACTGGTTCGCTTAACGTCAGTTTTATCATTGATTTTTATTAAAATGAAATGAACTAATAGTAGCTAACAAATTCGACTTAGCATAATTATGTTAAAGATAACATAGTCTCAGAGGGAGAGCGCACTCATGCATATATGGTTGCATTAAAGTATTAGTGCGCGTACAGCCATGTACTTCTCGTACATAGCGCCCAGGCATTGCCCGTAGGATGCATGGTCAGTGCTTATGCCGTAAGTAGGCTTAAGACGGTGGCCGTCAAGTGGCTGAACATATTACATTTAATCGAGTCATTGACTTGCGCTTATGTTTTGATTGTTTATATCCATTGTTGTCAATGTCAATATTTAAGATTGTAACAAAGTGTTAAAATGCGCATGCATGAATACACTCCAGATGATTTACAAAATATCATCAATAAATATTCAACCTATATAACAATCACTGATCTAATAGCAGTAGCTTGAATTAAAGTGTTATTAAATCGCACAATCGCACAATCGACATCAACAAAGCTACAACGTCTGTAGTAAAACAGACCTACACAACACTATTAAAACCGGAACCAGCGTTCCTACCTGAGACGATCTCCTCTCCCTCATTTTGGCCACTAGATGGCCTTCATTAGCCCTTGTCGGCTGTCAAGGCCCCTCTCCCCATCAATGGATTTTTAGCCTGACATTGTTTTTCTTCAATATAATATAGTATAATTGGTTGCATTTCCTTAAAATTAATTATAATTAATATTAATTCTTATCGCATTTATCTATTCAGCCATTTACAACCTCATGCAAGCGGACATTTTTCTCAACTTCACCAGGTGCGTATAATTATTTGCATATTTTTATAATTATTGACAAGTAATATTACTTCTTATTGCAGGTTATCTCCACATAGCTATTTACGTTCTCCTGCAAGTGAACATTTATTTTCGACTTCACCAGGCTCATATAATTGTTGCGTTCTCTTATTGTTATTGACCTTTGACCTTAATTTCTAAAATTTCATTTTTCTTACAGAATATGTTTTATTTATCAATATTAAAGTGAGCAGGCGACGAAAACACTGCCAAAGGTTATTGCCAGTCGCCGCGAAAAAAAGGGAAGGGAGACAATTGTAATGTGATCGTTGCACCAATGGAAACAAGATACCCACATAAATGAACCTAGAACCGGGAATGCCAAAATAATCAGTCGCGCAGCAGGTATGTGAGGTATTAAATCGCTTGAATCTACCTTACCCTACCTAAAGAGCTCTCTAGGGGCGGTAAGGGGCGATAGAAAGGGTATTTGAAGGTATGTGTTGTTCGTGCAAATGCAAAATTTTAAACTTTTATATTTACTAGGTGCAAGAACATTTGGGTCGGTCACTCGCTGTTCGCCCTTTAGAAAGTTTTCTTGAGTGAAACTAGGCGTAAGTACACATATATATTTATCCAAAAGAACTAAATCTAATAATGGCAAAAAATCTTTTCTTAGTCAGGGGTCTCGAACGTGAGTCTACGTCTGGGCAGCAACATCGTCGGAATTTCGGCACACACATACATGTACGAGGCGCGCACCGTTGCTGCCCATCTGCACAGCAGCACTCTAGGGTCATCGACCCAGTTGTAGGCCAAGGGCATTAGCAAGGGCATCCGATCCGCTCTCTTCCTAATCTCTCTATGAGCGAATCGGTTGCCTAATCATGATCGCTCAATGGCGTTACCCCTGTTAGCTGTTAGTTTGTTACTCCTTACATATATATCCACAAATGCATAATCACTTAATTGCAGTAAACGACCTAGTAGTGGTGGGGAAAGTGTTGTTCTTTAGTTGTGGGCTTGTCTAGGAGTTTTTTTTTTTTTATTTTTCTTTCTTTTAAATCACTTGAGGACTGAAAGTTTGTTGATATTTATTTTAAGGTTTTTATTTTGTTGATGCATCTATGATTTGCTTTCTCGTGTAGTGACCAATGGCCAAGTTTGCTATTGTTCGGAAAAACCTCTGCATTCTCTTTCTTGTTAAGCGACTAATAATCATTCGTTCACCAATAGTTTCGTTAACTCCTGCTCGCTTAGCCGGTGTCTCAATCAATTGATAGGCGCCTGTGACGGGATTGAACAAATATTTTTGTTACCAGTCAATAAATATTAAATCGGGCAGCAGTTTGCAGGTGAAGGCTATTGGAATTACCTTCTCCGAGCTATATCCTTAGATGACCTTGTATTCTGCAGATGAGTTTTCTCAACCTTTTGGTGTTTCTGTTAATTAATTAACAGCACCGATAATCAGGCCTAAGGTCCTCGAAACTAGGTTGGTGTCTCGGCGAACCGGCCAAACTTAAATTCAAATCCCTATTAATTCTCCTAAATCACTATAACTAAACTACTCTATCAAATTACTAAATTAAATGGAAATGAAAGGAATCTAAAAATTCAATGTCAATAACCAATTTTAAAGCGAAATATGTGACACAAAATAGGGGTAGAAGTTCTTGCGACGATTAGTATGCGATAAGAGCTGTAGTAGAAAATTATTATTAAATGGAATATACAACAAATTAAAAATAGTTGCATTAAGCATGCCTACTGAGCAGAATTGATGACACCACCGCACCAATTACAGACTCTTTCAAAGCGAACACGAAGCTAATTCTGACCGGAGAACCCACAAAGGGTTTCCAGGAGCTTAAGAAGGCGCTCTTATGTGCACCCGTATTGGCGCATCCTGATTTCCGCAAGCACTTTTATATACAATGCGATGCAAGCCAACTTGAAATAGGAGGGGTGTGTAGAAATGCCGTGTACAACTGGTTCGCTTAACGTAAGTTTTATCATTGATTTTTATTAAAATGAAATGAACTAATAGTAGCTAACGAATTCGACTTAGCATAATTATGTTAAAGATAACATACTCTGAGAGGGAGAGCGCACTCATGCATATATGGTTGCATTAAAGTGTTAGTGCGCGTGCAGCTATGTACATCTCGTAAATAGCACTCCCGGGCATTGCCCGGGTCAGTGCTTATGCCGTAAGTCGGCATTAGACGGTGGCCGTCAAGTGGCTGAACATAATACATTTAATCGAGTCATTGACTTGCGCATATGTTTTGTTTGCTTACATCCATTGTTGTCAATGTCAATATTTAAGATTGTAACAAAGTGTTAAAATGCGCATGCATGAATACACTCCAGATGATTTAAAAAAGATTATCAATAAATATTTAACCTATATTACAATCACTGATCTAATAGCAGTAGCTTGAATTAAAGTGTTATTAAATAGGGAGAACGACCTTACTTACGTGGTTATCTTCTTGGCCCTCTTATGCTTCATCCAAGCGGTTTCAAGAAGTCTAAGGAGAGGAGGAGTTAACACGATCAGCCAACAACAAACAAGTAGCCAAACTGATCATGCATTGCACAACGTGTGTGGATATTGCACAACATCAACAGAAGTTCTGTCAGCGGCAATGTGGCAGGCAACGCTTCACGCTGTAAGCAATCGTTGTGCAACACCGTGCACGAGGCAGGGGGTAAGCACTTTAGGGCATAGGACTAGCTTTGGTTATAAGAGACTGTGTTCCTAGAGTTATTGATTTTTGGAAATAAATCGCGTCGGTCATCGCCACGCGATATTTACACGAATTCTTCTCACTTTCCGCAACATCGCTTATGATAAATATTTTTCCGCCCAGGAGCTGTTCAATTTATATTCATAATAATGCAATTTGTCGTGACTCAAAGTAAATTGGATATATATATATACATATGTATGCATGTGCACACGCGCCATGAATCACCTATACGTGCGGCGTGGAACCAAAAAAATCATAAACATATGCGATGAAAGCGATAAATACATATATATCTTTCAGTGCAAACACGGCAAACACATGTTATGAACTGTGTATTCACAGAAAATTTATTAAAGAAAAGTGGGCAAACTTTAAAAATTAAATGAAATTAAAAATATTACACAAATTTTACGGACAACCGACAGCATTATTACTATTGCTCTTTCGGATTGGGGTGGGGGTGCTGTGTCCGAAGGCTTTAGTTATATAAACTTAATTATTATAGACTCCCTGCTGAAACAAAATTGCTGAAGCATAACTTACGATTGAAAATACAAAAAGTGAAAAAAAAAACCAAAACCTGTCTTACAGAGTAGTAACTGTGTGCATCCACACATCGGCAAGGCTCCTTATAACTGAACAGCTGCCTGATGTTGGCATTATCTGTGATGTAAAGCGATCCTTGTGTTCTTGTACCTTCCCATTAACGGAAACTTCAATCTACATTTTAAATTACAAATATATACTGCATTTATTACTTCTCTTTCAATGACTCCCTTGGTGTATTCGATAGTTTTACTTTGTTTATAATAGAATTTTGAATTTAAGTAAGATACTTTTCAATGTACAATAAATATAATAAAAAAATATTTTTTGGCTGGTTCGAAGTCCGTGTTTGTAAAGACAATCAATGAAAACAATTTTGCTTTCAATATATTTCGGTTGCACATCGGCGAACCGTCTTCAAAGCACTAACACCAAAATACAATAAAAATTAAAAAATTAACAATTAGAATACAATAATTAAACATTTTACATACATTATTTTAAACGTCTGCGCTTTTTGTGTGCTGTTCTTGTTTTAAGATTGTTGTTTCATCAAAATTTGGTGTGTGGTTGCTTTTCGTACAATGGGTCATAAGTGCTGTTTTCTGTATATTATTTTGATTATTCAATTTGAAGTCCAACAACTTTCCTCGCCAAAATGAGAATAGCCCATGGGCGATAACTGTATTCTGTCGTGATGGCTCTTTCGTTTTGCGCTCCTTGCAGATGTGGGTATGTAAGAGAGTGAAAAATGAGAATGGGTGCGCGTGAACACACTGGCATATTGAGTTCAATAACAACAATAACCAACTTGGCCATTGGTCACTACAAGTGAAAGCAAATCATAGGTTCTCTAAGAGTTATGCATAAATTAAAAAAAAACCGTTCATCAACAAAATAAAAACCTTAAAATAAATAATGCATACTTCAATAACAAACTTTCAGCCCTCAAGTGATTTAAAAGAAAGAAAAAATAAAAAAAAAACTCCCAGACTAGCCCACAACTTAAGAACAACATTGTCCCGACCATTACTAGGTCGTTTACTGCAATTAAGTGATTATGCAGTAACAAACTAACAACTAATATTTATTACTTAAAAGTGCTTTTGGTGCTCAATCAGTTGCGAGTGCAAATTCTCCCTTGTATAAGCCGAAAACTCAAAGCAGTTTAAAGTATGAGAAACTGCTGATTTGCTTGGACCGTTCTCGCCAAAAGTTTGCACCCGCTCCGTTTTATTTTTATTCTTTTGTAACGATTGACGATTAACGATGACTTTAACAATGATATGCGTAGTATCACTAACTATACAATGCATAGACATGTCAAACAGCGGAATAATCGGATCCCGATAAATCGTCAACGACAGAGCCCCATGGGTACCCGCGACCATTTTAGTGTGCCCAGATAGAGTAAGACTGCTGAGAGTTGCAGCCGAACGCTGGCCTCGAAAACCGAACGTTCAGTACGAAGCCGCATCTCGCTCAGCGCACTCGCTGCGGCTGATGCTATTTCGTAATATATGTACATATGTTAGTATTAAATCTTTTCAGCCCAAATACATACATATGTGTGTATGCGTGTGCAGAGTGTGCCTCGCTCACACTTATTGCTTTGCGCACTTGTGCGCACAAGTAGATCGCGGCGTTTGTCGCGAGCCAGATATTTTTTCTTCAATTGTGTGCCCTTTGTGCCTGTGGCACACACAATCAAATGCTCTATCATGTATTTCTTCGTCCAGTCAGGCATAATTAGAAAAATCTGATTTATTTATATTTAATAAAAACTTAAATGACCCAAATGAAATATTTACATTATATATTCTAATATTTTTGTTTACTGAGGGGACCTATTTTGCTTAAAATAAAAAAATGACTATGTCATATTTCTCCAAGGGTAATTCCTCGTCGGATTGTCGAAAAATGCTAAGAAAATACCAAATATTGAAAATGTTCAATTTTTGCGACTTGCTACTTGTGCACACGCACGCTCTTTCGAGTAAGCAGTTGGGTGACATTATTAAAGGGTTTGGCCTGTTCATATGCAAAACTCCTATTTTCCATGCTTGTTGTAAGGGTAAGGCATGAACGTTGGCATGTGTGCATAATAACTTTTAGGGCCTGCCAAGCACACACACTTACACACTTTTCTATATGGATAGAAGCATTTATGCGTTTGTGTGCGTGTGGGTTGCCTGCCTGCCTGCCCGATGCAAATTTGACCAAATTTGAAGTTTTTGGCACTTCTGAATTTTGAGCTCTACACACACACACGCACACACACAAATGTGTGCGAATGAGCCGATCAAGGGTTTGTCGTGAGACAGAGATATTTTCATCAGCGTAAATTTGGGCGACGGTGTGCTTGCGGCCGCGTAAGGCACTATTAATTACAGTCAATTTTCTATTTAGCTTTAAAACTCGCATACAATTTTTGTAAAAAATGCCCAAATGAGAATAGCCCATTCTTCCTTAGCTAGTCGCATAAGCATTCCAACATATGTATATATATGTACATATATACATATATTCTGTAGATATATATATATCTACAGCACTCGCCTTCTTCATCAATGGGCTCAATGAGCACAGCCAGGAAAATGAATGTAAGTTAATAATTGCCTGGCAAGTATACGCATTGTAATTCGTATAACTGTTTGCGACCACATTAAAATCAGGGCAATACAGATATTCTTTCATTTCGCATTCAAGAAATCCATGTTCCTTATTTTTTCCTCGTTTTTTCCCTATAAGCTATTGTGAAATATAAAGTTACGGTTAGTTACAATATTTTGCAATGAAATAAATTAATATTTTATCATATGTTAATTTAACAATCTCCGGTACTCTAATACAATATTATCAGTTTGACAGTTAAATATTCGTTCAGATTTATGCTTTACTCATTTTAAATTAACTTCAGAAAGTGTGCTATAACATTTATGGTGTCAGTATAGTGAAACGAGGGAAAGAATCCACGCCCCATCCGACGAACTTAAGCAGCAAAAGCAAGAAGTGCACGACCCCCGAAATCGTCTACACACCAGTAGGTTTCCTTAGCGTCGATTTTAAGGCCATAATTAACCGTTTAGATTTTACATACAATGCTACGAAAGAGCTGACACTGCTAATCAACAGGACTATCATGAACTACGACAATATGTAGCTGCTTCATTAAATGAAAAATTTAGAGCGGTCGCGCTACGCGTATTTATTTCCTTTCGCTTTAGCATTAGCTCGGGAAGTTGAAGCTAACCTCTAGCTGTTTTGCGGGAAGTGTTGAACAGGGTCCAAAAATCTGAACAGAGACAGCATATATCGGCAGACACATAATGCAACCAACAAGTCAAAAATCCTCATTTTAATAAAAGACTTGGACTCCCAATCAAAATCAAGTCCAGCCGAGGTACGCCGCCAACTCATCACGTATTAAACAGATCACGCAAAACCAAAAAAGTGGTCCGTCTCAGAGACAAAATCAAAACAATCAGAGGCCAAAACCGATATTTTAAACAGAAACGAACAGAATGAAATAGTTGTCAGAGAACACAACAAACAAACAAAACAGATTGATTCTTCAGGAATATTTTTTTTTCCTATATAAACCAATTAGCAAAAGGTGTTGCTAATTGCAAAATTTGTCAGAGGGCGAAATATGATCGCCAGGCTCAGAAAAAGGTACTCTGTGAAACACATATTCTGTTACTTGCGAACCAAATATTACCTATCTACATAATCCTTCTATCTCCCCCAGAGCTTGACGCAGATTTGAGAATGAAAATTTCCAAGTGAGAGTCAAAGTCCTTGCAAAAGCAAACAAGCGACTAGGAAACACACCTTTGTACAGCTAATAAAAGGTTGAAATAGACTTGGTGACAACAGTATTGGTGAGTGGTTCACAAGGACAATTTAAGAGATCCCTTCTCTTTCGCTATATTCCCATTTATACTTAGGAAGTGGATTACACTACTTATTGTTACAATGACGACAGCCAAACTCATCGACTACGCTAATGCAGACGATACACCAATCATAGAGACACAACTGTTTGAGTACTTAAAATACTCAACTGAGTTAACTATGTATATATTCAGCAATAGTAAGGGAGACAGAATAATTAAGAAACTGTTTTTCGCAGTCACACATGAAGCCGATACTTGACTCAGACGTGAGACACATGCGGACACTTATAGCTAGAGTAAATATCCATCATCGCCATACTAGAATCATTAATTCGTTGAGCATCGTTTTAAAATTTGTAGCCGAGACCCCAGATGTTGACGACTTCGAAAAACTTTAATATACACAGAAGGTGTTTTTCAAATGCGAAAATAGATAACTATTAACACAAAGACACAGGAACAAATAAACGAACTAACAAACGCCTTTTAGAAATAAATTAAAAATAAAAAAATTAAATACGGAACATTTATATGGAACATTGCTTTCAAGAAATAGGATAGTTATCTCAGAACTCGAAGCCTTAATGTTATCGGCTACACTCACAAAAATTGGAACAATAAAACGATTTTAGATTAAAAAAATATAATCAATGAACATACTACCAATATTACAATTGCTGATCTAATAGCAGAAGCACAAATTAAAGTTTTATTAAATATAATTTTTTACACATCATTATAAAAGATACGAAGACTATTTTAGTATGTAAACAAATAATCGGTCATCCTATTCAGCACAACGGCATCATACATTATTTTGCCGATGATAACAACATACATAGCTGTCGGTGGCAACCATGTAGTGCCGATTGGAAACTGTAGTACTGCCCATGCAACAACATTGTGCAGGAAATTGCCCCACACAACATGCGGCATTGCACATTGAACTACTCGTCCCATCCACTTTGAGCCGTTAACAGTCATCAACGACGACGTTTTCATCATCAATGATAGAATAGCTACGACAAACGAACAATATGCTGAGTATTAGCTTTACCAGAAACACTAGATTTTCCGATGCCAACGTGACCTTATGTTCTTTAAGTTTAGTTGATTTTTGGAAATAATTCGGGTCGGTCAACGCCAAAAGTCTCCTCACTATGCGCAACACAGCGCACTACAAATGTCTATCCACTCAGGAACCGCTTAATTTATATGTTCTGGATCAGCATCAACAGCCTAGTTGAGATTGCCATGTCCGTATATGTGTTTCTATGCGAACTAGTTTTTCACTTCTACAGCTATCGTTTGAAACTTTTCATATGTCCGACTTTCTGTTGCAGGCTATACAAATATCGGAACCGGCCGGCTCGGACTAATTTATCATATAGCTGCCATTGGAAAGATCAGTCGAAAATATCTTACCGAAATTCAGAATTTTTTAGTTTTATTTTGCTCCCTACATATGAATATGCAAAATCTTCTCAGCATCGTCCCACTATGTAATATAGCTGTAATAGGAGCGATAGGTCGAAAATGTACTTCTTCTATAAGCAAGTTTTTTGTTTAGCAAGATATCTTTACAAACTCCGCATTTATAAGTTACACTTTGCTGCCTACATTTATCCAAAATCCTTACAACATCGGACCACTACATCGGTCGAAAAATAGAATTGTTCTTTTAATTTTTCACTACGCTCATTTCATATGACAAAATGTTATCATTAACGGACCACTATTTCATATATCTGCCATAAAAACGTTAAATTCTGGTATCGAAAACTTTTTGGTTTTTTACGATATCTCGACCATACTCAGTATTTATAAGTATCAATATGGTGCATTTATAGGTTAAATCTCATTAAGATCGCTCTTATATTCAATAGCTCTATAGGAAGAATTGGACAAACGGATATTTTCACCAAACTCAGCATTAACTCAGTATTCTCACATTTCTGCATTTTATCTTGTTGATTACAAATTAACAAGATGTAACTATTGATTTAAGTATTTCATTTAAATTATCACCAATATAAAGGCAACGAATATATTTCCAGCATGCTTTTGACTCGTGTTAACATTCTCCACACTTGCTATGAACCCAGTGCGCGTAGCCATATAATTTTAAGTTTTCCTGACGCGGTCATAAAAAAGTATGCATGCCAAGTTTCAGTATAGTTCTTTATACGGTCGGCCCAATATAATCCTTTTTACTTTCTAAACAATTAGAATAAAGTTGACATTTTGGGAATGAGTTTTGAAAATTTGAAATATTTTTAATCTGTACATTGTATATACATAATATTATATCTTATACAATCTTTTATATTTTTGGATTGTTTGGAATCATATTGATCTGCTATTTGTATAACAGCCATTCTTAGTTTCTGACAGCGTTTCGTAAAAAACTAACAATTTCATTAAAATAGCGACTGTATTCAGCACACAACTTATTCGAAGAAAACTTTATATTTTAATTATATTATTTGTGAACACTTTTTATCCTCCAATCTAGTAGTGTGTCTACACTGCCTTCTTCACTAGAACTATATTCTTCTTTGTACTTAATTGTCTTGGTGTTACGCTGATTTTTTAAAATATCGTTTTTTTTATCATTTATTGTTATAAATCTCTTCCAGTTTTCAATTTGTTCGTCTATTTCTTTTAGATGACGCTTGATATTCAAACTTTCCTGCTCCTCAGATACTATATTATTTGATATTGTGGCCGCTTCTCTTATTTCACGTTGAAATTTGATCCATTCCGTTTCTGGATCACGATCACTGCCAAGAAAGTTTAGAGACTTTTCATGGTCAAAGAACTTTTCGGGTAATACCTGAACTGTGTTAACTTGAGCTTGCGGCATTTTATCAGAATTACTAGGTTGCAACTGAATCTCATTGAGGGAGATGCATTCCGCTTTTTGTGGTGTTTGCTCATAGTTTGCTGGGTTTAATATTTCACAACTATTGCCAGTATTAATACGTTGACGTTTAGCGAGTTCCAAATTTCGCTTGTGTTGTCGTGAGGTCAAATGTACCTTCCATACATTTGACTTTATGGGGATCCTGCATAATATACATGACAAATTACCTGAAGAATCATATGTATTATAATTATTAAGAAAACCAATAATAAATTCAAAGTGACAAATACGCTTCTGTATATTGTATGTATTTGAATTTCGGCAAGTGTGCAAATATATATATACATCCATACATGTACAGTAATGTATGTAAGTACATAATAAATATATATACGTAATGATTTAAAAAAGGATATTTTGCTATGGGAGAGTCGACTTTGATGAACTTGCATTTAATTTCAGATTTTCTGCGATTTTTTAAATTAATTTCAACTATTTCTTTACTCTTGTCCATTTTCAGGGTTGTATCGAATCGGACTGAACAAGTTAGACTGAATTAATCATTAAAGCATGTGCGTCAAGTTAGCAGCGGTCACTTTAAGTCAATATTTCGAACTTTGTTCCGGAGTTGTAATCAAACATTTATAAATGCATATTTTTGACATTATTCAGCCTCGACTTGCTTGTAAGTAATGGATGTGAGCCAAGTGTGCTCCTCAAAACATTAAATTTGTATATAATTTTTATTCGAATTTTTTTTTGGTGTTTTCCGGCTTTTCTGACATAATATTCTTTCTCGTGTTTTAGTTTTTCGGGTTTATTTGCCTTCTGTATTTTGAAGCTGATTGTTTTTTTCTTAATTTGAGTGCGCATCATGCCGGGCGATACCCTGCTCTCGCTGACCGTCTTCCGTTTCCAGTCTGAGTTGAAGGATATCCTTTGCGACAAAGCGCGGATCGATTCTACTCTGTCTGGTGACTCAGGTGTGCCTAGACTATGGGTAACCCGACCGCCTGTCAAAGTTGGAATGTTTCAAAGGATGTAAGCTTTGGTCAAGGACACCTCATTAAATTTCTTGCTGCTTGGCTCTTTGCTAACTACTGCAACTGACCCTTCTTGAACTATAGACTGCTCCTTAAACAACTGTGTAAAATTAATTAAACAGTTTTACTTTTATTGATCGTTTATTGGCATACGTCCTAAGACGATGATATTTCATCTACTGATGTGTCGTTCAATTATATGTTTGTTTTTAAGTCTAACATTAGAGTTTTGTATATAAGTCTCAATCGCTGAGTACAGCGGCAGAGCGGGAGCATGTATATATGTATGCATACACTTAAGGCATATACATTGAGCATATATATGTATATCGTATCGTATATGCAGACGTTGCATATTCTGCGCTATGGTCACGCCACTTATGAGTAGACGATCATATTTCGAATGCACTTTGGGTTGCGTTATGTTTAGCAACAAAGTGTCCCTAAATGGGTTATTGCACTAACCAAATAACATGTAGACTGGTCAAACCGTATATTTGGTGGTGACATTCGTTTTTTTTGCGGCTGGTCCAAAGTTGCCTTCGTTTTTGTTCGGGTTCGAGACATGCCCGCATGCTCTCACAGCAAGAGAGTAAGACTAAAAAGAATGGCGCGCGTCAGACGCGTGCCAATAATGATATTTTTAAATTTTGCGCCCATGATCACCCCATTCACACACATTTGTGTCTCTGTGTGTGTGTGTGTTTAGAGCTCGAAATTCAGAAATCCAAAAATATTGTCTAATTTGCATCGGATAGGCAGGCAGGGACCAACAGTCACACATGCGCATAAATGCTTTTATTCATATACAAAATACGCAAGTATGCGTGAATAGCAAGTCCAAAAACTTTTAAATGCACACATGTACCCTTTCGAACAAGAACGAGCTAAAATTAAAGAATTTCTCATCGACTTGGCAAACCCTTTCATTATTTCATATAACTCGTCCTCTCAAAAGGGAAGAAATGCCACCGACTTTTGAGAAAAATTGAATTTGTGGGCATTTTTGCTGGTGCGGACACATACACACACAAACATTTAAACGGTACATAGACAAATTGAAAGAGCACTGAGAGTAAGCCAAAGCAGTTTCCTGTAGTGGGAGCGAGATAAAAAACAGCGATGCCGTTTTATAGCACAAATCATATGGATGAGAGTAAGCCAAAGCAGTTTCCTGTAGAGTGAGCGAGTTAAAAGACAGCGTTGCCGTTCCACGTTCTTGCTGTGAGAGCATGCGGGCATGTCTCGAACCCGAACAAAAACGAACGACCAGCCGCAAAAAAAAACTTGTCACCACCAAATATACGGTTTGACCAGTCTATATGTTATTTGGTTAGTGGTTTTTGTTTATTTGATCTCATATACCCTAACATTGGTTGGGTATGTATTATATATATGTTGCTCATGCTACACCTCCCTTTCTTGAAAAATAACGTAACATTCTATATGTAGTTATTTAAAAATTATAGTAATTTGAGGGAACATTTTTTTTAATTTAATTCTAAATAAGTAATTTATGAATATAATGAATTAAAAAAAAATTATTTTTTTTATTATTTTTTTTGAAAATAAAATTGAAGCTACAATAATTGAATAGTTTTTTTTGTTTTTTTTTTTTTTAATATAATAATATATAATGATATATAATGAATATAAAATATGAATAAATGAATATCAAAAGAAGAATAGATATTTGTTTTATTTTTGTTTTTAATATGGTTGCCAGCCATCCTGTTTTTTTTTTTTTTGTTTTTTACTCATTAAACAATTTTAACCTATCCTTGTGTACTGCTTGTTTTTTGTTCTTATTATTCTTTATAAATATGTTATCGTTAGGTTCTTTTTATTTTTATTCTTTATAACTATGTTATTGCTGGGTTCTATTTCTATGACCTTAAATGGTCCTATATATACTGGATCTAACTTATGCCCTGTTTCATTTCTTAACAGTACGTTATCTCCTATGTTTTGCTTGTTTTGTTCAAGCATTATTCTAGCTCTTTTATATGCTATTTACAATCTATATTTTGATTCTTTAGCATAATCCTCTGCATTATGGTTGTGTTGTTGTTATAGTTGTGTTATAGTTGTGCGTTGTGGAAGGTGTTGTATTGAAACAATAAACAAAATATTGTAGCCAAGTATCCCAATCAGTTTCATCAACTGATATGTAGGAACGAATGAATTCGTTGAATGTTCTATGGCTTCGCTCTACTGTTCCCAAAGTCTGGTGGTGGTGTGCTTTTGAAGTCATGTTTTTGATACCAAGGTATTTACATAAATCTTCTATAACTGAGTTTTTGTATTCTGTTCCCATGTCCATAATGAACGTCTTCATTGGACCATATTTCAGAATAAAATTTTCGAAAATACCTTTTGCTACAGTTTATGCACTTTTCTTTGGTATTGGTATGGCAACAAGGTATTTTGTTAAATCGCATATCAGTGTGACTGCGTATTCATTACCTTGCTCTGATTTTGGTAGTGGACCGATCGTGTTTATTACTACTCTATCAAAAGCCATAATTGGTGTCTCTGTTAGTGTTAAAGGAGTTCGAGTGTGCGTTCACACTTTTGATTTTTGGCATTTTGGCACTTTTTCACATAATTCGTGATATCATATTTTTCCAATAGTAATAGCGTTTTATTTTTGCAATAGTTTTTGTTGTTCCACTATGCCCTCCTTGAATTGGATTATCATGGAATGTGGACAGTATTTCTTCGATTTCTTTATTACTTTTTATTGTGGTCACCAGCTGGAGTAGCGCTACTCTAAGCTTTTTCAATTACTTATTGCCCATTTCTTTAAAGGAATCTATTGAAACTTATTCAAAGATTTCTTCGCGCGGTGCCATTTTGAGTTGTTTGATACTATATATACCGGCTTCTTTTCCAAGCCTTTGGAAAAATTGATCTTAATCAAAGACTCCATTGGTAAGAGATCAACAACATCAATTCTTGCAATAATCTTTTTCCCAAGTTTTAAGAAACATTTGTCCAAATTTAAATGCAAGGGGACTACTTTCATAACATCATCATTTCGAATGACGTTATATATATTGGGCATCGAAGTGTCTGGTTGCTTTTGCAATTCGGATTTTGGTCCTGCGCAGGATTTATTCTGTCTATTGTAGTGACTTTTAGTACGTTAGCTGATATGTTTTTTATTCTTTTATTGTGATGCGTGATAATGCATCAGCAACGAAATTGTCTTTGCCCTTGAGATATTCTACAGTAAAGTCATACCCTTCTAAGTCTAATCTCATTCTTGTTAATTTTGGATTCACCATTGAAAACAAATATGTCAATGGTCTATGATCTGTTTTGATTTTAAAATGTTGACCATATATATATATATATATATGGTCGAAAATGTGTTTTTGCCCAGTGTATTGCTGCCAACTCTTGTTCGGTTGTATTTTTATTGCTTTCTCCTTTTGTAAATGAACGAGAAGCATATGCTACGGGCAATTATTTATCTCCATAAGTTTGAGTAAAAACTGCTCCGTAGGCTAATTTACTGGCATCGGTTATGATGCAAAATTCTTTGCTAAAATCTGGGTATTTTAGTAAAGTAGGTTTCATTAGAGCTTGTTTTAAGTAATCGGATGCATTTTGACATTCAATTGTCCATTCGAAAGGAACATTCTTTTTACATAATCTGGTTATGTGCCGTTAATAGTCGGCGAAGTTTTTAATGAATCGTCTGTAGTAATTGCAAAATGCAACGAATCTTCTAGCGCTATCAGCGTCCGTAGGGACTGGGTATTTTTCAATGACATCATATTTTTTGTCATTTGGCAAAATACCTTGATCAGTACATTTGTGACCTAGAAACGTCACTTCATGCATGAAGGATGTGCATTTGTCTAGATGTAGTTTAAGGTTGTGTTTCCTACACAGGTCAAAAATGTTTGATAAGTTTTTGATCATGTGATTTTCAGAACAACCGATGACGATTAAGTCATCCATATACAAGAATGCTTGTGAAGGGTCTAATCCCGAAAATGCTATTGTCATCATCCTTTGAAAAGAATTTGGCGCTATTTTTAATCCATATGTTAATCGTGTGAAACGATAAGAGCCATTGCTCGTTGAAAAAGACGTAATATTTCTAGATTGTTCTTTTAGTTCTATTTGGTGGAAACCGGACATTAACTCCAAGCATGAAATATATTTAGCTCTTCCTAATTGATCAAGAATATTACTATTCTTGGTAACGGAAATTTGTCTGAGAGTAATTTTTTATTTATTTGACGATAGTCTATATCTAATCGCCATCTCTTGGTCGGATCCTGGTAATCCTTTTTGGGAACGAGAAGTATTGGGCTGTTATATTCCGATACAGAGGGTTCTACAATTTTATCCAAGATGAGTTTTTGGACTTGTTTATTTACTTCTTCTTTATGAGTATGAGGAATTTTGTAATTTTTTATGTACACTGGCTCAGTATCTTCAAGTCTCAATTCTTGTTTATAAAAATTGTTAGTTGTTATTGATTCGGTTTCAAGTTCGAATATGTCAGTATAC